AGAGCTCCTTTCCAACCTTAATGATTCCTAGTTTTACTTTCATTAAAAAATAATCCAGCCAGCAAGCCAGGAAACATGAAATTATTCCTCTCCCCTGAATTGGTTTAGTGGTGGACTTGGCAGTGTTAGGTTAATGGTTGGACTGGATGAGCTTAAAGGTCTTCTCCAACCTAAACAATTCTATGGTTCTATGAAGATATAACATCTCTCTGCATGTTTGCACCTGCAGATCTAATCCCGATTCACCCGGCCCCAACACCCCCGATCCCACCGACAGCCTGCCGGTTCGCCCGGGCAAAAATTCCGACGCTGAAAGGCAACAGTCAAAAAAATTAGGATGGGCAAAATACAAACGACTTGTACCCCGGGTTTGTCAGGCTGCGTCCTCAAACGGAGCAAAATTCAAAATGCCGATCTCATAACCGTGCAGAGGCTGCCATTTTCTAGGCAATTTGGGCGTTTTACGATTACAAAACAGCAGCATCAGCCCCGAGTTAGTTTCTTCAGCCCCGCGGGCACTGGAAGGCATGGGTAACACCGGTGGGTTGGTTGCTTTGTTTCCAAACACGCAGCTGGGGTAAGGGGAATGAGAGGTCTTGCAGAAAACCACAACCCTGCTTTTTACGACCAGATTTAAAGAATCCAGATCCTTTATTCCTCATCCCATGGAAGGTCGGTCCGTTTTCCTCCCACCTCTCCTCTGCCCCAGAGAAACCCCTGGACAGGGCTGCGGCTAAGGGCAGGGATCCCATCGCGATCCAGACCCGAGACCTGCCTTAAATATTCCCTAAGAAGTGAGGATTTCCGCAAAGTCAGGCTAAACCAGGAAGGAAGCTACCGAGCGCTCCACAACCAACGCGCTGCAGCGTACCAAAGCTCGGCAAAGGCTTCGGCAGAGCCAAAGTGCCGGAGCTCACCTAGAGATGACACCCCTACGCGCGCCGGTCTGCGCGGCAGACCGAGAGGATGCCAACTAGCTCGCACCATCCGAAGGACATGGTTTAGTGGGCATGGGGGTGTTGGGTTGATGGTTGGACTGATGATCTTAGAGGTCCTGTCCAACCTTAATGATTCTTGGTTTTTACTTTCATTAAAAATATCCCAGCCACCAAGCCAGGAAACATGAAGTTGCTACTCTCCCCTTAACTGGTTTAGTGGTGGACTTAGTAGTGTTAGGTTAATGGTTGGACTGGATGATCTTCAAGGTCTTTTCCAACCTAAACGATTCGATTATTCTAGGAGGTATTACGGCTTTAGATAGTCCGCAGCAAGGATTCCTGCAGCCCCCGTGACTACCGAAAGCCTCGGCGCGCCACCTCCCCTGCCGCTAAGCAACTTTGCGAGAAACAATCCTGGATTTCACTCCCCTTACCTTGCGGGTCTGCTTTTTTGTAGGCGTTCCCAGCGTCCACGAAGCTGGTGGCCGAGTCGTGTTTGCTCTGCAGCTGCATGTGCAGCTTGGCCGCCTGACAAAACGCGTTTCCTGCAGCTGGGAGAGAAAAACGCACACCGACCCCATGTACCCCTCCGGCCCGGCAAGGAGCGGCGTCGCCGCAAAATGGCAAAGCGCACGTCGCTTCCCAGGAGCCAGAGAGGTTGAGAACCCCAAAATTGTTTGTGGCCAGGCACTGCTGCTCTGCCGGGGGCTGAGCCCGGCGCAGCGGGAGCATCCTACCTGCACGCTCATCCTCGGCAGCGCGCGCTCGCGACCGGCCGTGCCCTGCATCTACGGGATCAGCAAGGGGGATCCCTGGGATCTCAAAATCTGTTGGATTTGACGTCCCACCCCAAGGTATTTCCTTGCTGAAGGGCAAAGCCAGGGCAGCGCCCCTTTAGCAGGCTTGCTTGCAGAATTACGAGCTTTCATTTTAGAACGGTAAAGCGCACCCTGCCTAATTTAACAGGAGGAACATTCAGGTCAGCCCCGCTCTGACCACCCTCCCGGTATTTAAATCATCGCAGGGCCGGGCAGAGCAGAGGAACTGCATCGCCATAGGGACCATCCCCATGGAAACAGCCTGGGATGTAAAACTCGGCTGCGATAATTCGCAGGAAGCTGCTGGGGCCACTCGCAGGTCACCCCGGCGTCAGCCACCCCCTCCGCAGCCCCCCCAACGGCGGGGGCTGTACTCACCGCTCCAGTTTTTGGCGATCTTGAACATGTTGGCAGCCCTGGTGTACATTTCGCAGGCTTCCTCCACCCTGGTGTTGCCCCTGAAACACAGCGAGAAAGCCCCTGATGCCGTGCCGGAACAAAACGCTGACCCCGAAACAGGATTGGGGCGTTGCAGCCCCGCGCGCTCGGGCGATGTGGCCCCGCCGGGCTTGGCGAGGCTGACTGCCCCCATTTTAAAGCGCGGGGCGAGCATCACGCCGCTCAGAGAGGGGAAAGCTGGATTTGGGGGACCGGCAGCCCCTCGCCCTCGCGGACCCTCTCCCAGCTCATTACCAACACACGGCGGAGGCGGGGAGAAATTTGGTTAGCACCCAACAGGAGCCCCGCCGCCAAGGGGGAGCAGGCGGAGCTGGCAGGCACCAAATACCCAAGCGCCTGCTAGACAGGGGAGGCAGAGTTTTTCATTGCATAAAGCAGGGACAGAAAAGCAGAGGGAAAGCCACTCCTGAAATGGCAGCTCAGGATTTTGGCACGTTCCTGAAGAGTTTGGAGCCTGGAGCAAGCCCCCATCTGCTCTTTGACCTGGGTGCCTCCTTTTTGGGCAGGAGCAGCTGGTTTCTAAGAGTCTCACGAGACGCTCGGCAAAAACACCTTGCAAACTCCAGCACACGACAAACCCCTGCGTCGCATAGGGAACACAAAGCAAATCAAAAATTAAGGAGACACCAGACAACTCGCTGCCTGCCTAACGCACAGAGGTGCGTGCGCTCTGCGGCTCCCAACAAATAAATAAATCTCATCGGACCAAGCCCCGACACGCCAGCGGGTTTGCACCTCTGCATCTCCTGGTACCAAGAGAACAACGCGACGCGAGCCTGACTGCTTGGGTTTCGCATGTAACTCGGCTCCCCGAACCGCGTGATTCATTTACCTGTTAATTATTATTATTATCTGTTGTTAATTAAACATAGATTCCTTCACGCAGCTCGTTACTGCCCTCTGTAGCGCACAGTCCTGCTGACCCCAGAAAGGGCCGGAGTGCAAGAGGTGACAACATTTCTTATTGCCCTTGTTTGCTCCCTTCCTCCTCCTGGCAGCTGACCACGTCTCATTTCTAAGCACAGGCAGTGGGGTTTTTTTGGGTTTTTTTTTGTTTTGGACCGCTCGCTCTCACTCTTGAAAGCCGCCTTTTGCGTGAGCTAACGCCAAAGGAGGCGGCGCAAGGGAACGCTACACCCTACCAGGCGTCCAAAACAGTTTTCAGCTTTTTAGTCTCATTAAAAAAAAAAACCCAAAAACCACAAAGCAAAGCACTTGTGCAAGCTAATGGAGGTCTTCAGGAAGAAGCCCAGCTGGCAATAACGCTTTTGGCCAGGCACACAGCGGCCTGGGCACCCCCTTTCACCAGGAGGATGCCAAGAGCAAAGTCACCCATCACCTCTTCTTCCATTTTAAAAGCCGTTTTTTCTTGCATCTATTTTTAGCCCAAGAAAATGAGAAATTCGCCTCTCGAAATCTCTGTGCCGGTTCACGCCAAGGATTTTCAGCAATTTGCTGCCCAGATTACGCCCCTGGAACGCGCCCTGCCCGATTAATCTGCCGGAGGCTGGGGAGGAATTTATTTTTAAAACTTCTGCTTTTAAGGCTGCGGGCATTAGATTTTTCTAGGCTGTTATTTAGAAACATCAAGGCCTCCACGGCAGCATCACTCTGTAAATGCTCTTTTCTTAAAAATTTTTTTAAAATAATAAATACATTTTAAAAGCCAAGGCTGAGGTGGCCAAAAGCGCGAGTTTTTCAAATCCCTTCCAGGCACAGCTCTCACACCCCCAGGAATACCTGCTTTTAAACAAAAAGAGCTGGTAAAAAGGAAGCTGGTAT